GTATTGGGAGGTTAGTAGGAACACTTCCCTGGTTCTTTTCCTGCCTACGTTGCCGTCTAGTTTTCTTTACCTTGCCTCCTGCTTGGACAAGTGTATCATCAAGATTAGGTAACGGTTCCAATCCTTTAGTTTGAGACCTAGTGACTGCCATGAATGTGCAATCTTTAGAGATTTTCTAGACAACATGGTCCAATATAGGTAAGTCATCTCCCAAAACAACATCATCATATAAATTCTTCAATACACCAACATTAAGTGTGAAAATTTGGTCCTCAATCCCAAAAGTCATATTGGTCGTGGGATAATCCTGACTGTCACCATGAACACAAGTGATATTTACAACCTTCTCATAATTGAGCAAGTCACTACTGAATAAATTAGCTTTAACTAGTGTTTGATTGCTGCCTGTGTCAGCCAGTGCTTTTACCACTTTCCCATTTACAGTTACAGAGATTGTATGTCTATGTCTACAATGATTTCCCTGTGGAAATATTTCTTGCCCCGCTTTAGGTACAGAACAAAACTCTACAGATTTGGGTTTTCGTACAGGACACATGGAAGCCTTATGGCCAGGTTGTTGACAGTTGAAACAAATAAAGTCACCTTTTGGTTGTAACTTTGCAAACTGTCTCCGAGCCCCAATGTCAGCATTACCCAAGTCTGCCTGTCCTTCATACTTGAGCTCCACAGTTGGCCCCTTCTTCCTGTAGGGCTCCCGGTGTGCTGCCATGTAGCGCTCTGCCAACTCCGCTGTTTCCTCTCCAGTCTTAGGATTATGCTCCTTTACCCAAATGCGGACCTCAGGTTGCAGAACTCTCAAGTACTGCTCCAGAATGACAACTTCTCCAATCTGGTCCTTGCTGCGATGGTCTGGGCGCATCCACCTCCTGTACAGTGCTTTTAGTCGATTATAACTTTCTTTGACAGTCTCTCCCAAGGGAACGATGGTGCTGGGAAACCTCTGCCGATATGTTTCTTCAGTAACATTGTATTTGAGTAACACTGCTGCCCTAATAGCCTCATAGGACTCTGCCTGCTCTTCATCCATGCCAGCATATGCTTCAAGTGCCCTTCCAGCCAATAAGGTCACTATTCTGGCAGCCCACTCATCATGCCTCCACCCCCAGGTTTTTGCTATTCTTTCAAACCTAACAAAAAAAACTTTCTGCATCCTCTCCAAGATCTGGGATTCTGGGTTCTGACATCCTGGTAATTGCAGTTTGACTTACAGTGGAAAACTGTGGAGAATGGGCATGTGGTAGGTAACCCTGAGTTGGAGTTCCTTGTGCCGGAGGAAGGTTTGTCAGCCTAAATATTCCAGGGTCAAGGGTTTGAGCCTGTGATTTTGGAGGGGGATAATGTTGACTTGTTTGGCCATCGAATGTCCGGTCTTGCTTCCTGGTGTGCATCTGATCTCGTTAACTCATTGATCTGATCAATCAACATTTCCTCTCTACGTTTAGAATATTGCATGAAGTCTCTCATTTCTTTAACAATTCTCTCATCTAGTGGATCTCTGGTCGTACTCACTGTCAAAGTCTTAGGCCGAACCACTGGTTCCGTGTCACTTCCCTCAGCTCCACCCTGGGCTTGGGAACTGTCTGATGCATCAGGGAAAAAGGCAACAGCTTCTTTTCGGGGTAACTCAAGCTCCAGGCTTCCCGCAGCCTCTTCAGCGCTCTCCGGTTGAGTCTGGTTTGGCTGTGCTGCACGGCTTCTTCCTCTTCCCACATTCCTCACCTTGGCTTCCTCTTTTCTTTTCCCACTTCAGCAAGGCGTACCAATCCCACCGCTGCCACCAATTGTTATGCGGCGAAACAGCAGGCCAGGTGAAAAAAGAATGAAAAGGCAATTCAGCCAGGATCCAGGAAGGAGAGTTTTCTTTATTTCCAGGAGTAACAGTTGACCAGTTTTTGAGCAGACCACGTGTAGCACTGCTCTCCAAGTTGTCCGGCACGCAGTGACTTCCTCATTCCTCTTTTGAAGGGAGTTCACTTGAGCTTCAGGCCAATCAGGTCCAAGCAAAAATTGGCCTTTCCCAGGTGGTTGCAATGAACTCCCCTGAAATAATTAGCGTTCTACAAAGTGCATTAAGTATCACACAATAACAGCTGTGGATGGAGAAAAATGTGCACCTTTTTTCCATCCAAAATCCACAAAAAAACAGAATTTTTGATATATGTCTTTTGTCATCATGACACTAGGCAAAAAATATAAAAGAAATCCAATTAAAAAGTCTCGTGCTAAGTGAGCATGACTTCACACGAACAAAACTCTCTTTCCGGTCTACCACGTGTTCTTAAACCGCTCGGTGAATTACATCATTGCGCACCGTTGCTAACCTCAGCATAATAATTACAATAAATCTTTGAATGAGAATCAAATGTGAAACAATCAAATGGAAAAATCAGTGAATACTGTAACTGAGCATGTCTTGTGCCTTGTGACCACGTCTTATCATACCGCGCACCATTCGTAACCCGAAAACATCGGCACAGTCTTAAACCGAGGACCATTTTTTGAAACGTATGCACGAATGAGGCCTGTCCGCGGAGGCGTGAAGTTGCCTTTTAATAACATGCCGGCAGATGTCACTTTTTTAATCTCGGTGTCGTAAATTATTAAACCGCTTTTCTTCCCCCCTGTAGAGCCTGAGATAGTGTGGTCTTCTTATTCTTTTCTGAAACTGTATTTGTGGTCCTTTATGTAACAGTTGGACTTAACAGCTCTCCAACTGACGTTACTGAATGGAAACTGCACTGAGACTAAATATCAGTCGCTAAAGTGATGTCATTTAAGCTTCCGCAGTAGCTGTGAAAGCTTCTGAAAGCTGTAACATGCCGAGAGAAAAGGAAAGTAAGGCGGCGTGTTATTGTGGGCAAATCGACTCCAGCTGAGCCCGAGTGTGCGGATCAATAAAAATCATCAAGACGGCGGTTGAAAAATCTCGATTCGTGCCCGTGCACCTCATTCCGTCTTTCACCTCCTCCGTCTGGGAGAAATGTCAGGAGAACAATAAATGTATAAAAAGGTCAGCGGCGTACTAACAGACCCTTCCGAGATTTCATTACGTGTGCTGCTGGCTGTGGCGGCGGCGCTCGGGCAGCAGCGCTGACATTTGGTTTGTTTTTACACCGTGTCGAGTCTCGCACACTTGTAACTCCTATTAATGTCAGAGGCAAAGATCTCGGGGGCAGCGGGGTTGAGTTTATGACTACCGTGTGGAAGAAACAGCCAAACGGCGCTGCTGTGACTCAAACCGCACGTCTGCCATGGACAATATAATCAATAAGCGAAGAAAAAGAGGTAAAGTGGGAGGGAACTCTTTTGCTGACTTTTAGCTGTAGTCCAAGAAGTTTAAAGTTTGGTTATGTTGCCTGACTTTGTGCAACCAATCAAGGCAGCTGATATCAACTATAAAAAAAGCATTTGACTGCATTTACTTGATTCGCTCGGGCCAAAATGGACAATCAATGAATCTATTTTTATTTATTTTTCTAATGGGATGCCAGAAGCTCTGTGAATGTTCTGAACTTCTGTTTCAAGCCAGTGTCTTTGAACTCGGTTCTTCTTCCTCAGATCACAATCTGGTTGAGATTGAATCAACGCTGCCTCTGCTGACTGTCGCTAGGAACTACACTTCATTTCCACACACCAAGTTCATACAAACATTTGACAGCTTTGCCAAGCGCCACGTGTAACCAGTTGTCAAAAATTTTTAAATCTGTTGGAAGAGGTCGAAGCAAGATCTGTGCTGACACAACAAGATCCACTTGCCAACCCAGCAATTTTCAAATAAGCAGATTATCTCAAAAGAAGAATCACATCAATTTTAAAAGACAAATTGAGCCAGGAGGCTTATGATCATTAGAATCGAAAATGAGATTAGTTCACATTTTCTGTCATTTAAAAAAAAAAGGCTTTTGCTGACTGAAAATGACATCATAGTTTGCTCAGGGCTCAGCTCACGACCAATCGCGGCTCAGCTTGCGAACATCACATGACCAAGACCAGAAACCCTTTTCAGTTGATCAGTGGCCGTCGAATGAGAAGGATAAAAAGGGGTGGATTTTGCTGCTTGATTCATATTGCACAAACGCAATATTAATCATCATACCATGTTTAGATTATTGGGGGTGCGTAAAACATTTTGTAAAGAAAATTTTTTAGTTGATTTCCCCTTGAACAATCTATTTTTTTCCCCCCCAAGGATACCACACGACTGTCGCCATAGCATTTTTTTGCTGAACGAGTTTATTTTCATTTGGATCCTTTCATAATCTCATCAGATATGATCATAATAGTCACCTACACGTTTTTGTTGGGTGTTTTTTTTTTTTTTTTTTTTGGTGTGGGCAATTTCAACTCTAGTTCCTCTTAAATAGAAGGATACCACATGGGTAAAGTTGGATTTTGACACTTCAGACGTTCCGCTTTAAAAGTCGACCTGGCATTCAAATCATCGCCCTTGGGTTTTGAAGTTGGTATTTTGGTCATCGAATGAATGTGAGGGTGAGTCGACACAAAGCTCAGGCACAGTTAACCCCAGCTCAAGCCATCCGACACGCATTTAAAGAGAGTAGCGCTAACAAATCACATGACTTTGTATGAAGAGATCCATGTGCGTGAAGAGACAACTGCAATTTATCACCTCGGCCATATGAAGACATCAAACTAAAAAAAAAAAGTGGTCCAACAATGCCTCGCTGGGTCGCCGGCTTTTGCGATGCATCAAAAACGAAAGAACGCCGAGATGATGTACTCGCTCAATCGCTTTGAGCTCGTCACAGCTCATAAATTACCATCAAGTTATTTTTTCACATGGAATCCGACTGCTTGGGCTGGAAGATCCGTTACCCAGAAGATCTGAGATTGCGTTTGGTCATACGACTGCGGCGGCGCAGGTTAATAAAGTTTGGGCGGTGGCGTGTAAATTGTCAATTTGCCTCGGCCGGATGCTCGAGGGGTTGGGGGGAGAAAACATTGGCCGGGTGACTCAATTGACACTCCTCTCCGGGTCAGAGGTTAATGAATGATTACTGCGCTCTCCCAGCAGGCGTTGTCCGCTCTCCCGTGGCCGGCCTGCTGAAAGAAAGTCAATTTAGCCCCAGATAAATCCCAAGGAGATAATTTGCTGTGATTTAATCAAGTGCTGAAGTGATTGCGGCGGACAAGGCAAACATAACTAAGAGGAATTGGTTTATTGATCTCCTTGATCGCCGCACTTACCTACCAAATGTTTCATCTGTAGAGAGAGGTGGACTGGCCAGCCATTACCACACTTTACCAGTCGACCTCCTGCAAGTATGAAACATAAACACAGAGAAGGACACCGGGTGGGGCGCAGACCACCGCCAAGATGGAGAAATTGTGGTCTAAATATCAACGCAAAAGGATTCCTGACAGCCCTGCGATTGGCTGGCAACCAGTTTGGGGTGTACGCCGCCTGCTGCCCGAAGACGGCTGGGATAGGCTCCAGCATACCCGCCACCCTCGTGAGGACAAAGCGGCACGGATAATGGATGGATGGATGCCCGACAGATTCAAAATAAATCCGTCTGCAACTGCGTTTTAACCCTTTCAGGGGCAGCGGTTACTACAGTGGACAGCTAATCGTGTTATCAGGTTTACCAGATTTACAGTATGAGCTACAAGTGTTTCAGAAGATGAGGATGACATTTTGTTTCAGCCATCATACACAGGGAGTTATAAAAATACAAATAAAAAAAAAATATATATACAAATAAGCAACATTTGTGAAACTAAGCCTGCCACTGTGCTGTTTTTATGATATAAACAATTGTATTTATTCATAGTTCCTTTGTAAATAAATAACGACATACTTGAATCGTTACTGAAGGTTGATTATCCCGTTTTATAGATTTTTCATACATGCACTCACTGGAACTGATTAAATTGCCCGGTAGTAATTGATTGTTTTTTGATATAGTGGTTCAGAGTTTGCAAATTTAATTTGTTCCGAGACTCTGGTCATGAAGAAAAATGTTGCAGAACCATTTTTTTTTTAATTGAAACGAATGGAAACAGAGTTCCTCAGTACCAGCCTCAGAATCAAATTTTGTATGCAGTCAACCTTCCTTTCATTTCATCTGCAATAGTTTTGCAAAGTGATTCAAAAATAAAAGGGAGATGAATTAGAAATTGTTTTTGGGATGTTGTTGTCCATCCCGCTGCCGCTTCATACAGATGCTGCGGGTTCAATACCGAGCTCTGGATAAAAGTTGAGTGGGCCGCATGATGAAGGGCATCTGATGACGACTTGCTGTGGTGACCTGTGATGGCACAAAACAAAAGTTGCAACAATCTAAATCTACTGGGTTCTTGATCGGCAGATACTGTACTCTGTGTTTCAGAATTAACTCACTAAGAAACTAAGAAATTTGGGAAAGGAAAAAAAATAAATGACAGGACTTGTGTTTCAATAAGTGGACGAGATAAGCAGAGGATAGTGTTGCCATTGTCGCGGCATCGATACCAACTTTGAAACACGTTATTGGCACGAACGTGTCGGCCCGTGTGACCTCAACTCGACGACTCCCGCTGGCTCCCTGACCCCGCCGGGCCAAATGGGAGGAGCGGCGGAGTTCAGTGTGGATTTGATTTCACTCGGGGACCAGGTGCGGGCTTTGTACTTGCCACGAACCGTGCTGGTGCTCCGGCCATGCCGTCCACGGCCCCATTATTCAAGCTTCGCGTCAGCAGGCGGCGTGACAACATGTCAGAATCTACAAAGGCACCCATACACCACGACTACATTACGTAAGAATACAATGAGCTTTAATAGTGGGCAGGGAGACTCCATGCTTCATTGTGTGCCAGTAGGTGTTGCTGTTTTGGTTAGCAAGAGAGTTCAAATAGTCTCAGCAGTGAATTGCTCAACAATGCTTACAGTAAATGAGGGAGTTGCAGGTATCACCTGTTTATTTATTTATCAATTTTTTTTATTCTGTCAGGCCTTTTTTTGTCTACTGTAACAGACCATCTTACGTTGTTTAAGGTTTGTTTCCAAAATAAGGTTTGACGTACTGTAGGTTTGATAGAAGGATGCCCTTATTGACTCCAATGCTCCCCATTTATCAGGGTATGGAGTTGTTCTGGCCCCTCGGCCCCTTGGGGGGGTTAAGGTTTAAGTAGAAGATGCAACCAGGTGACATATTGTAGGGAAGGCCACTTTTTGAAGAAATACAGTGCCAGTAAATTTTTAAGCTCTGGAAACTTATTTAGAGTGATTTTATCGACCAAAAGTACCACGTTCTTCTCCCTGTTTAAAAAAGTGTTTTCAAATAAGGCGGTCGTGCAGTTTTTGTGAAGGCAATGAGTAAAAAACAAGCACGGGATGGCCTTCAGGAATGAAAGTTTCCCGAATGGCCGATGTATTTCCGGGCCGGTACTGGCCATCACAGCCGCTCACAGCCATCCAGCATCTGCCCTCCGCCCCCCGTCGACGATTATTTTTCGGCAAGTTATGGCTGACATCAATGTCTATGCCTGGGCCGAAATTTGGTCCCGGCACATCTCTGTGCTCCAATGGTCGCTGAAATTGCCGTGAAATTAGATATTTTGTTTGCCTTATGTCATGAAATGTTCACTATTTAATCGGGACCTAATCCTTATTTAAAATTCCGGGGGTTGCCAAAAGTTGGAAACTTTCTGTTGGACTTCATGGGAATTTATGGAAATTGATACAGGAATTTATGAAACCACACGGGATTAGAAAGGAATTTTTAATTAATAATAGGGAATTGAGATGTAGTCTGGGAACACGTATTTAAAGTTAAACATGATCCTGACTAAAACAACCAGAATTCATGCAACTACAGTGGTACAGAATCTTGACGTATGAGTGCCCCAAGTTCTTTTTATTTGCTTGTAATGTGAGCTAAGATTTGAGAGTCTTGGCTCCACTGCAGCACGAGTGAAGTGAAAGAAAAAATGGCCATATGATGAAGGGGCTACAATGCCCTTGCATGTGGGCAAGGAAAGCTACTATATCTATTTTGCAAGGTTGTCTGCTCATGACAAAATTTGTGCTTAATTTAACATGATACCTTTCTATTAAATGAGCCTCATTTCCTGGTAATTCCCATCGTTCTCATGGAAAAGTTCCAATTTCAAATGTTTACAAAATTTGCCAGTCGCTTGAAATTTTTCCACAAACATTACCAGAAATATTGCGGGTAAAAAAAAAACAAACTTCCACCCCTTAGCAATCCACTTAAATGTCATTATTTCTTTGAGCGTGGACGTATTCGTGTTGAGGTGCGGTTAAGCGTCGCTCACGCCGTTTTATTTGGCCGACCTGATGATATGCGAGGCCCGCATCTGCTTCCTAAATCACAGATGAGATCAGCGGATCACGGCGCGAGCCCAAATGCCGGCTCGAGGCTTCATTTCTCATGGTGGTGCTGGACAGTTGTCCTGTGGATTAATGGTTCGCTGAAGACCCGAATCAGAGCCAGATGAAAGCCACCAAAAGGGCCCTCATTTTTCCCCATTAATCATCCTTGTTTTCTTTGCGCTGATCTTTTCACCCTGTTTTTAAGTACCTGTCCCTTATCCAGAAGGGGGCTCGTCCAGGGTCCAAGGGGCCAACTGGAGGCCTGTCAGATACACCTCCCCATCCTGCCCCCTAACCCCCCGCCCCCTCTCCCTCATCGACTCCTCCCGGCTAGTCCCTGGAGCGCAGAATCAGGCCCTCGGGTTTAATGGCTTTTGTAATGGCAAATTATACCGTGTTACAAGGGTAAGATTAATTGAAGTGCGCTCTCGGGCCGTTGCACGGACGACGGTGTAACATGAGAGCTTGGCGACATACTAAAAAAAAAAAAAAAAAAAACGGAGGCGGCTGTCTGGTCAGGCGAAGGTATCCGAGACTCCTGACCTCTTGTGACGTTTAACCATAGCTTGTGTTTTGGTTACCCCGAGGGGGCCGTCTGACTCTGAAAAAATATCATCATCATTTGTAAAATTAACCAATTGTTTTGTCACATTTTTCAACACCGCCATCATTCCTGCACTAATAGATTGTTGAGAGGCTGTGAACTTTGCTCCCAATCCGACATGAGTGTTGTTACTGTAAGATGCGCGAGTGGACGATGCTCCGTTGTTATTGCAGCTTCAAGGTTTTGATTTCAAATATGGGCCCAAAACCGTATTGAACAACACATTCATACAAGGCACAGCATCCATAAAAAAATATACAATCTTTAAGAAAATATTGACAGGGAAGTTTATTTACTCACCCTCATATGTCAGGATGAGAGTCTATTAGAAATAAGTCTCCCCTTAATTGGACCCATTTTTACGATAATATTGAACTGTTACCAGTAGAGTAACATTTACTTGGAGTTTCAAACAGAATAAAAATGACAATTATGGAGAAATGCAGCAAAACACCGTCAGGAACTCAGGCAGACAAGGAGGAGTTAATAAGTCACGTCGCTCCCCAGAAAACATAAACATGAAGGCACACAACATGTTTACAACGTACTGTAAACAACTTACACACTTGAGTTTATCCTGTTTTGAGTTGAGACTAAGGGCTCTATATTCATGCCTAGCGCAAGATCGGCGAACGGCGTAGCACAAATTTGTACATGGGCGGGCTAGGCTCGTTTTAGTCTTTTCACAGACACGCACAGAGCTTGGCGCAGGTGGAATCAGGCGTTTTGCGCCATTATGGGTGTGAACACAGCCGACTTGATTCACAGCCAATGAAAGTGGTTCCTCAAATTCCTTTTAAAATGGATCTGCGAGCGGTGCAGTCCTTGACACGGCGTAAGGAGAAACTGATTTGCTGGAGATCGATGTGTGCAGAGTACGTTTAGAAGGGACCGCAAGGAGACTCCACAGGCGGATCGTCGTCAGCCAGGGAGATTACAGAACACCGTTCTGAAGTTGGCGCTTGGAGACTACATTCCACCTCGATCGGTATATAATAAATATAATAATACAAATAATGTGTTCACTTAATTGTAGACCTGATCCCAGCAAGCGTCAAGTCTACTTTCAGCCACCGAATTGTCAGGTGCACTGGGGGCCTGTCAAAGGACACGCCCTCGGTACACCGGAACGCTCACCATGGTGTGGAACCCTCTGCCAAATGCCCAAACAAAGCGCGTGGCCCTGGCGCGAAAATCACTCGTCAGTTTTTGCACTCAAGCGCACCTGCGCTCGTCTACGAATACAGAGCCCTATGCGGCAGACACTCCATCTATTGGACGATCATGCTGACGTCCTTTTACTGGTGGAAATGTGACTATGAGCTTCAATGCTTT